GGGGGGGGGGGGTTGCCACGATGCCCACCACCCCGCCCGCATCCACCGCTGGATTGGCATGCATCTTACTTTTGTCTTAAGTGGTTTCAGTGTTTTGATAATATGCATATGCTCACTATTTAAGGACGAAAAAAAACTCTGAGCATTGATTTTGGGTACCAGAACAGAAGACAAAAATCAGAACCCCAAAGACAATCATGGCAGTAAAGTATTAAATAAAATTAATGTCAAATCCCTTCTTTTTGTAAAGCTCCCATTCCTTCGAGACATGGCTTTAGACTCTAGATGAAATAAAAAAGGGGGAAGGGAAATTTTGTATGGCATATTCAATTCATCCTTATATGAATGCTTACTAAATGATCGAAGTGCTGTAAAATGTTAACAAATTACGGAGATCGGCGTGTAAGAGGGTGCTCCCGAGCGCAGCTGCGGGACTCCGGCCTGGCCCAAGGCCCATAAACGGACCAAAGCAGGATTTATGGAGGGGGGGGGGCATGGTGCCACGGCACCGGGCTGTCAATTTTTTCTCTTCTTTTTTTTTCTTCTTATATAATTTAGAGAAAAAGAGGAGTTTATGTTTCATGTTGGCTTTTCATGTGTCAAAAATCCTCATTCCTGGAAGAATCAGTTCCCCCTCCTTAAATATTTGTTTGCAACACTCGCCTGCACAAAAGCACAAGCACATTCTTCTCACTATCAAATAGTTTCGAATTATATGCATTCGACAAATCTAGAAATTTTTTAAATTTCAACTCTATTTGGACGTATTTTGAGGCTTCTGTGACACAGATTTTCCGTCAGTTTCTGCATAAAATTTTCGCTTTTTTTTACACAAAATACTTTCGAATTGTTACATTCAACAAAGTTGGAAAATTTCAGAAATTTTAATCCTTTTTGAACGCATTTTGAGGCTTTTCTGACGAAAATTTTAGGGATGAACATGGTGTTTTCATTTGAGACTCTACATTAAAACAGATAATAATCTTCGACGGTCTCAAACTTCATCTTTTCTCGCACTTTCTCATCTTCTGTCTCCTCTTTCCTTCTCTCTATTCCCCCCTTTTTGGCTTTCGGGGGGGGGGAGGGGGGGAGGCTTAAGCCCCCCCCTCTGGATACGTGCCTGTCAGATGCACCCATCATTATGGCTGACCTGCAGGGGGAGCCACCGAACACTTCCGAGTAGTTCCGGTTCGTTCCGAATGCCGATAAAGAGGATAAGTTGGCGGAAAATTCAAAATACAACGAAGGCATTGCAATTCCAATTTTAATTCTTTTATTGAAAATAAAAGAATATATATAATTGAAAACTTCTAGACTTTTAGAGCAAATTCCCTGACTTTTCCATGTTTTCCAGGCCATTTTTTTCCCCCTGACTTTTCCAGGTTTTCCAGATCGCTGGGAACCCTGCATGTTGCATATGTGGCATATGGTTCCTTGGGTTTGCTGACAATCAACTTAGAGCACGGTATCCATCAACGGCTCTTCTTAAATCCATTAAAAATGCGGCTGGAAGACCATTGCAAGAAAATCCCTGACTAACTTACGAAGGCGACTCAAAAGTAATTGCTCCCCGGGTCGGCCTCTTCCTTTTGATTGGCGCGTGCTGCAAGTTGAAGCACCTCAAACCATGACCATCTATGCCCACGCATACGTGGACCTCTCTTCCCCCTGATTTTAGATGATAATGAACCTCTATCAACTGCAGTTCGGCGAAGTCGCATTTTGCCAGGAAACTTCTTTTTCTCTCTTTTTGTATTATTTGTGATATTAGCATCATCATGTTTAGTAAAAATGGACTTCTTAAACGTTTTTCAAGACTTAAAGGAAGGATCGATGAGAAGAAGAGGCGATATGGCCGAAGATGAGGCCGCGTAAAGGTGCGTATTCACTGCCGAGCGCGGGCGCACCGAACAGCGAACGAGCATACGCGCGGATGCTCATGCGGTGCGGGCTGTGCGTAGTGATTTTACGAAACCAACGAATAACCCGCGCCGAATACTCTGCGCGGGTTGTTCGTTCTCGCTCCGCCTGTGCGTCAGTCTCTCGCGCAAGTTGAAACTTAATTTCACATTGTATTTTTTTGTCTGATTGTTGTTAATTTGTTGGAGAAAAATTACAATATTAATGGATTTGCGGGTTGCGGCAGCTACTGTTGTGCTACTACGTCATCGTCTGAGGAAACAAAAGAAAAGGAAATCCAGGTGGGTGCGAGCTTTATTCCAGACTCGAGATATAAGTGCGGCTTTGCTATGTAGAATGGACATGGACCACTTTCAAAATTTTACGCGCATGTCACCCGAAGTATATATAAATAATGACCGATTAGGATCAGAGCATCCTCATTACTCCAGTTCTCTGCCACTTTCTAATAATAACACAAATCACCACAAAACATGAAATAAGAGAGCACACGTGCGTCAAGAACAGCGCAGAGTAGGCACGACCGTCCACACTGGCGAATGCCTCGGCGCGAATTTCCTTTGATGTGCGTTGAAAAACCGACAAGGAGCCTGAGCACGGCCGCACCGCGCGCATGAGCGCCGTTCGCGGGTGCTCATTCGATGCGTCGCACCGGCCACATTCCCGCGCATTCGTTGCGCAGGTTATTCGCTGCGCTGTTCGGCGCGGCCGCGCTCGGCAGTGAAGACGCACCTTTAGAAGACAGCGTGCGGGCGCGGTCCGGTCATGATGGGCGCAGCCTCGTGAGCGTTGGAGTTCGAGCGGTAGAGGAGCCAAGGTATGGGCATGGACCAAGAGAATACATAAGGACTCCCAACTCCCTATGCTAACCTGTGTTAAAAACCGTTACCGCGCGCTTGCAGCGAACCTGGCAGAGGGTGTGGTGAACTAACGCCACAGCGGTCCACGATCGTACCTCTATAGTATGTTATTCCATGCAATGTTCTTTGTTTATCTATGATTTATTTATATGTTTAGATACTTTAATACATTTTACTTTCGCAAACTAATGAAATAGTATAGATACATACCTTCTGCAGAGGTCAATGCGAAAGACTTTGATTGGAAGTATCTTATTAAAACACGAGCAAAGATGATTCAGTCAACTTCTGACGCAGAATCAAAGAGACTTGCTAATAGTCAAATTAAAGGTAATGCTTGAAGTCAAGTATCTTTGATTTTGTGACACTCAGTTGATTTTTATCAGTACAACAATATTTCTCAATCAAAAGATTTCACTTGCGCCTTCGGCTAAAAGTACAATCCTGATTCCTGCTGCACACTGCACACACACACTTCCTTTGGCTTTCTCAACAGCAGTTGCTGCTGAGTAAAACGGTTAGAAAAAACACTTCACATTATTACCAGTTCATGTACCCGAAGACTGACGAAGATTGAAATGAAAATGGGAAACTTTTCACACTAAACTCTTCAAAACTGCAGGGCGACCACGAGGATACGAGGATCTAGAAACTTCTATGAGCACTACCGAGTGATAAGCCTAAATAGGTGGTGCATGGAAATATAAACAGGAGGACCCAATCGTCGGTTTAGTTCACTACACCCTCTGCTAGGGAGCGCTGATGTCAGCGCTAACCGGAGTTGGGGGTCCTTATTTATTCTCTTGGTCCATGGTATGGGCGGCGCGGCGACGCAGCGGAGAGTGACTGAAAGGGAAGGGCACGAGCGGCGCCGCACAATGGTATGGCTTCCGGTGGGAGCGCGAGAAACCTTTGTTTACGTACATAAAACGGCGAATATCTCGAAAACCGCACATGGGATCTCTTTGGGCCCTTGAGAGCTTTAGATCAGAACGACGAGCTGAGCAACATATCCAAGCGTCATCCCGTTTGACTGGGGGGGATTTCCCATAAGGAAGGTGCGGGGTTCTATTTGACTGATTTTGATTTTTTATCAGGAGAAAATAAATAACTCAAGGTGACATCGCTGAAGGCCATCTAGTTTCTGGAAGAGGATTTTCAAGGCTTCTTTCGAACAGCCTACAATAAAACACTGCTATTACTGTGTGTTTCAGACTTCTTCTGCTGAAATTGAACCCTTAATTTGATATAACAGCATTATTTCACATTTTGTATGTCATAAGGTTGCAGGTTATAACAGTAAGTTAAAACTTACCAAAGATGGTGTTATTGGGATTCATTGCCACTTGGTTTTTAGCAGCATCGCCGATGAGACGTTCAGTATCAGTGAAGGCCACGTAGGAAGGCGTAGTCCTGTTGCCCTGATCATTGGCAATGATTTCAACTTTTCCATACTGGAACACTCCCACACATGAGTAGGTGGTTCCTAAATCAATACCAATTGCTGGTGCCTTGGCCATTTTTCTGAAATTCAAAATAAAACATGATATTTTTGACAGATCAAATCTGTATCCGAGGGATAGGTATCTAAAAATATAAGATCAGGAGGGAGCAGTGAGCACTATTTACTTACACCTTCCATTTTAAACATATTGACATGGTCAATGCACCAAAATAATATAAAATCAAGCACCTACTTACAGATCTTTTTCAGAATTAGTTCCAAAATCTGTTTTCTTCTGCTGCTTCCTTAGAATCGGTATCATCTGCTAACATAATGGCTTTTGCTCATCTTGGTGTTCAGAAACATGTAGTAAAAGAACAGGGGCAATCTCCTGGCTCAGGCTTTTGCAGTTAAGTAAATTTATCCAGAAAATGGAAAACAGTGTAGGATTGATGATATGAATTCCTCTATTATTTGTTATGAATTAACGACTGACATTTTACCTTGTTATTTAAATAATCAATCAATTTTTCTTTTCCCTCTTTCTCTGCCACTAAGTAAGAATTAGCTCATTAATATCCGTCATAGCAGCAAGAACTTCACCAAGTACTAGTCATTTGGCTACAATAGGTGAGCCACAGGGTACTAGGTACTTCCTACCTTCAATACACCTTTTTTGGTTGGTGAGAGTGAAGCAACAGTCATCGTAATGAGTACATCAACAGAATTACTCAAATTGTGATGCATTTCACCATGTTAGGATATTCCCCCTGCTACCCCCTCCCAATGAGCATCCCACTAGATCAGAAGTCAGCCATTCAAGTCACACTTTCGGGAGACGTTGAATGGATTCGTAGATGAGTTGGCATCCAATACCTTCATTTACAGGGTGTTCCAACAGTCCGTACCCCCCCCCCCCCCCCCCCNCTTTAGAACGGTTTGATATAGGAAAACGAAACTTTGGGAGTATTTCTACCTCAAAGGGGACCATCTTCTAGAGGGGGTTGGAATTTGTGCCCCTCCTTTTGGGAGGGGAACGGCCCAACTTTTACTTTCAGATTTTAGCCTCTACATTGTGATCTAAATCACATACAGTTCACCTGAAGTTCGAAAATACGAAAATTAAGGGGATTCGAATTTGCCGTTTAAATTTTTCCCCCCTTTTTTCTAACTTTACCCGAAATTGAGGGACTTGATGACGCAATGTTGGACTAATTTTGAACTTACCGCAATAATGTGGAGACGAAGATAGGGAAAATTGACTCATTTTGCGGGAAAATCGTATGACCTTCGAACTGACATAATTGAGGGTCCGAACCACCCCCCCCCCTTAAAATTTTTGTGGAAGTGATTACTGTGATTTTCAATTGAAAGTGCTTACACTTTGGTAAATGTTCCAGTTTTATTTTTTTTCTCTACGATAATTTGAACCGGAGTTATGATTTTACGAAAATAGGTCAAATTTGACCGTTGAGCGCTGACCTGTCATAACTCTGGCAATGATCAAGATATTGATCTACGGTTTGGGTCAAAATTCTTGGTTTTACTGTTCTTTTCACTGATGCATTAAAAAGTAGGAGTTACCATTTGAAAAACAAAAGTTGCCCCCCCCCCCCCCCCCCCCCCCCCCCNGGGGGGGGGGGGGGGGGGGGGGGGGGGGGGGGGGGGGGGGGGGGGGGGGGGGGGGGGGGGGGGGGGGGAGGAGGAGGAGGAATGTATGGACTTTGGGGACACACTGCGTAATAAAAGTAAAGTAGTGCTTAGGGAGGGAAAAATCTGCAAAATTTCGCGAAAATTCGTGAAATTGAAACAAACATCTCACAGAGACAGGCCCGAGGCATTATGAAAAAAAATTCAGAAGAAGTTTTCTAATATTTTTTTTAGGGGAGGGGGAGGGGGAGGGAGGGTACAAAAAAACCAAAAAAACAACTGAACGCTCTTCCATCTTCGAAATTCAAAAATTTATATACAATGCACCTCCATGGGGTTTCTCTCCCAGGACCTCGCAACCATGTCTACAAGTATCTTTTAATTCTTTAAAAACTTGAACCCCAGGGCTATGAAATATTAGATTACTTCAATTGGACTGCATTTTGCAATTTGGAACTATAACTTTTGGCTCTTCAGGAAAAACACTTACGTGCCTAGGGAAACTAATGACACATACGTTGTTCTTAAACCGAGCCAGAGTTTATAGTTCCAAATTGCAAAATGTAGTCAGATTAACTGTGAACTATCGACAGTACGGAAACAGACTTTGATTAACCCTTCGGTGGGTGCATCGCGGTATTCGGACTGTAATTTTTAATTTTCGCTTCGCACAGGTTGAAGAGCTGCAAGGTAGGGTGGATCGAATCGTTCGACTTTGAGAGGGGAAACGCGTATCTTCGAAAAAAAGTTGTCAAATGGGCCCCATATGAAGTACTCAAAATTTTGCCACATAAAATTGACCCCCTTGTACCGTATGAAGGCATACATTTTTAATATATTATATTGAAGATACTAACACATGTTTCCTCACAGATTTTGTCCAATTGTTGCCCTAAAGGGCGAACATTTCGTCCGTTTAGACGTATCGCGCACGAGTAAAGCACAATGAGTCAGTTAAGCTCGGGAGGGGTTTGCCCGCAAATAGTCGGATCGTACAGTTTTCGGTACGAGAAGAACGATGCGCAAGTTAAAATTTCACGAAAAATTGTCTCCGCGGAGATAAAACGTTTCTTTTTAAGGGGTCCTCGAAAACGTGTTTGAACCGACCGCCGTGAATCTCGGCATCTCCGCGTCATAAACGGGAAGATGGCGGCGACGAAATTAACCAGCTTACTATCGCCACGCCGCCGTTGTTGACATCACGATTTCTCGTTAGAGATTAAGTAAGTTCTGTGTGATTGTTTCATATCCTACATACACCTGTATCGCATTCTGATTGAAAAGCTTAGAGAATTAAGAACGATGGACATGAATCTCAAACAAAGTAACCGACATAACCTCCAATTGACCAACAAAAACATACCGCCATCGCGTCGCCGCCGTGTGTTCTTCCACTACGCATTCCGCCGCCATATTGATCGTGACGTGTACATGCGGAACCTACGGGCGCGCAGTTCAAACGGCGTTTTAGGCCACCCTAATTTTTAGCACTTTCGAATAAACTTTTCTCCCGTTTGCAGTCATCAAAAAAATTTAGAAAAAGAACTGTAAGCTTCGGACACTTATTACTTTCGAATGACAAAATAAAAAAATTGACTTAACTGACTCATTGGCCTGTTTTCACCCGATAAATAGGCGGTAGCGCCCTCCAAAATGGCCCAACTACAGTGATATCGTAAAAGTAAGTGTGGCTAGTCTATCCGTAGAAATTTTGCCAAATTACAACGCCAATGGCCAAAATTTCGTCCGTTTTGGCGTATCTCTGACCGTTCACCCGCCAACATGCGGAGAGGGCGTTCGAGCGATGCACCGCGTGGATCGTTGCGCTGCATCCACGTAGTGCCCGCTTTGACCGTTCGGGGCCCGCCGGTCGTAGGGGTGTTCAAACGAATTCTTGCCGGAACACTATCGACATCGTCTCTTATTGAAACTGGCGGCAGTACCGACAGTGGCCATGATATCGACAACAGCCGGCCCTATCGGAGTTTTGAGCACTCAATACATTGTTGCCCCGTGTGTCGGTTTATCAGATTGCCTGGCGCGGCGGCGCGTAAAATAGATGTACAATTGGCAACAGCTTATTTTCGCCAGCTCCGAAAACTCTGATCGCTATCGGTAAGAGCGCTCTTATCGTAACTTTTTCTTAACGGAACTGTTTCGGTGGCTTACCGACAACCAATTGAACAGCCCTAGCCGGTCGGTCGAGGGAAACCCGACGCGACACGCGGCGGCAAGGTGCCGGCACCGGTCGATGTCTGTACAGCCGTGATCTCATTGGCAAAACCCGTGTTTGAGAAATTTCAGCTATGAGGAATCATTGAAAGTTGGATAAGACGGGTGACGATCCACGACCCTCGGAGTTGTAGTGCTGACCTACTATAGTCAGTTGTCGCTCATGTTTCTTATCGTAACGATTTCGCTTCTGTGACATGGACCAAGAGAATAAATAAGGACCCCCAACTCCAGTTAGCGCTGACAGCAGCGCTGCCTGGCAGAGGGCGTAGTGAACTAAACCAACGATTGGGTCCTCCTGTTTATATTTCCATGCACCACCTATTTAGGCTTATCACTCGGTAGTGCTCATAGAAGTTTCTAGATCCTCGTATCCTCGTGGTCGCCCTGCAGTTTTGAAGAGTTTAGTGTGAAAAGTTTCCCATTTTTATTTCAATCTTCGTCAGTCTTCGGGTACATATACTGGTAATAATGTGAAGTGTTTTTTCTAACCGTTTTACTCAGCAGCAACTGCTGATGAGAAAGCCAAAGGAAGTGTGTATGTAGTGTGCAGCAGGAATCAGGATTGTACTTTTAGCCGAAGGCGCTTCTCTGTTAAGTGAAATCTTTTTGGTGAGAAATAGTGTTGTACTAATAAAAATCAACTGAGTGTCACAAAATCAACGATACTGGACTTCAAGCATTACCTTTAATTTGATTATTAGCAAGTCTCTTTGATTCTGCGTCAGAAGTTGACTGAATCATCTTTGCTCGTGTTTTGATAAGATACTTCAAATCAAAGTCTTTCGCATTGACCTCTGCAGACGGTATGTATCTATACTATTTCATTAATTTGCGAAAGTAAAATCCTATACAGGGTTATCCAAAAGTCACTGACCACCCCTATAGCTTTTTTCCAAATCGAGATAGAAGTTGGAAACTTTGGCAATGTTCCTCGGTCTAAAGTAGCAACTTTTCTATCCCCCCAACATTTTGGGGGGCGGGGGCTAACTTTTTTTGTCAAATGGCAACGTCCCCTATGTGATACCTCATTCGAAAGATAATAAAAAAAAAAAAATTTTTGGCGCAAACCACAGGTCAAAATGTTGATTTGTGACAAAGTGGCGGCCAGTCAAAGTTCAAAATGGCGGAAATCTGACATCTCCGTTATTTATTGACAGATTGGCGTTAAACTCGGAATCTAACGGCATTTCGAGAC